TATTTTTTTCTTTATTAATTGGTTATTTTTCGAAACTAATGAAATTAACCAAGATTCATGAAAACTAATAAACATAACTAAAATGTTAAAAAATCAAATTGACAAGGAAACATGTTTAATTTTTGGCTTTTTTTTTTGGAAAAAAAAATAGGGTTAAAATTAAGTGCTAACACTTTTAAGCAGTTTCACTAACTCAAAAGTATGTTCTCATGCAAAGATTTTATTTCATCATGCATGACTTTCAACCACTTCTTGTTTTTCTCATATGATGTAGCTTTATAAAAGCATTCTAGGTTACATCCATCAAAAATCAACACAAATTTATAAAAAGAACATTTAGAGGAAACTTTTTACAAGGTCTAATGGACTTCCTCAAATATTGTTTAGTTGGTGCTTTTTGAACACTTGTTCATACGTAACAATAGCATCATCATCATCGGTAGCTAGCTCTAGATCATCAATTAATGGCTCAAAATGCAAACCACCATCATCATCATTCTACATATCTCACCCGAGTTAAAAAGAGGATAACATCTTTATTTTTGATATTTTTTTTCTCTTTTAGATCTCATAACCTATATCAAAACTCATCATCTCCAAAACCCAAGAAAACATATTGTTTTATCTTGCTATCAAACTTGAATCTTTATCTCTAGAAACATGTAAAAATCCATATAACCAAACACTTTCAAGTGTGTATAGGAAGCATCTTTCTCTTTCCATACCTTTTTTGACACATCATAGTCAAGAAGAAATAAGGGAAAAAGATTGATCATGTTAGCTATAGTTCTTATTGCCTCATTCTAAAAGGATATAGACAACCTTACATGAGAAAGCATGCACTCGAGTCTTTGAATAATAGTCTGATTTGTTCTCTTCGACACACTACTCTTTAATAGAGTTTTAAAAATATCTTCTAAACTTTAATATCATGTTTTCTACAATACTTTCCAAATGGACTATTGTATTTACAACCACTATCGACCCAAATCAATTTCAATTTTGTGCCATTTTTTCAATCAACTCTAGCATGAAATTCTTTAAAGACATCAAAAATCTAATATTTGGATTAAAAAAATAGCTTAATTTTTCTAGAACAATCATTAATAAAACTAATAAAGTAAAAAACATCTTTCAAGAGAATTGTTAGTCATAGAGAAAATATCAATATAACTAAATCAAGAATAAGAGATCTTCTATGTGGAGGTGATATATGAAATAAATTTCTATTTTATTTAGTAGCTAAGGAATAAGTGCAAGTATTCAAGTTTATATTTTTCAAAGAAAGCAATTTATTCTTGACAAAGATGTCAAGGCCTTTCTTACTCAAGTCTCAAAGCCACTTGCGTAATAAATTGATGGAGCCAAATCCAATTAAATTCATCTCTTATTTAATCATTTTGGTTTTTAACATGTAAAGATCCATCTTCTTGCCTTTAACAACAACCAAAACTCCTTTGGAGAACTTATAGTTACCATTTCTAAAAAAGTTGTGATAGCTTTTTATTTTATCAAGTACACATTTTCAATAAAACCCAAATGATCAATCTTTAAAAAATTTATTCATGTTTACGATCGATATTAAAGTATGTGTGTGCTTCTAGTAGATAGGATCGTCAATGGATCAGATTTGAATCCGATTATAGTATATCCGAATCCGATTTGTTTAATAAAATAGATTAAATCAAATCTTATACATTCGGATTGGTTTGAAAATGATAATTTAAATCCTAACGAGATACATAATGTATTTAGATTTTCATCGGATTTATCACTTTGTTTTTGCGGAAAATTTATGGTTACTACATTTAATATATTGCTTGAATATAAAAATATTTCAACCACTACATTTATTATAAAATATATTAAGATAATATTTCATCTATCAATTTAAAAAAAAATTCAAAAATGCCACACAATTCAAAAGTACAAATCAAATTATCCTAATAAAGATTTGTTTTGAACTAGGTAAAAAGTACAATAAAACTAAAATAATAATAATAAATAATTTTTATTTCTTGTCCATGTGGTATCAAAATAAATATTTTTTTAATTCAAATTCTAGGATGATAGTGCTACAAATCAAAGTCTGCGAAGAAAAAAAATCTATTAATATTATCATATATTTTTTACAAGTTACTTCATAAAAATTTAAGTATATCTCACTTTAGTAATATTAGTAATATCACATAACTAAATAAGTACTAATATTGTATTTTTTTAAATGTGAATTTCATCGATTCTTTAATAATACAAGTTTTTAGTATCTCAAATTCTAATCTCTAACTACTTTTTTCTATATCTTCTCTCAATAAATAAAATGACAAAGAAGAAGAAGAAGAAGAAGACGTAATTTAGAGATTTAAGTTTTATAAAAGAGTTCATGCAAAACACTTTATTGTCTACTTCTACCATCTTAATTTGATTGAGTTATAGTTTTATATCTAACATTAAAAATACTATAATTGGCTCCAATTCATAAAAAAAAAAAAAAAAAAAAAAAAAGTTCTTAATGCTTTGATTCTTACTATCAAGTTTGAAACAAATAGAAAAATCATTTTGAATATATTCATTGTTCAATTCCATAACAGACTTCTATCATTGAAAACATATAAAGCATGTTAAAAAATAAAGACGAGATAATAATTTTAATAATTGGTTAATGTATACGTAATAGAAATGTAATGAGTTTAAGTAAATGAAATACCATAAGTTTTTCTGTTTTGATTTAAAAGTCAACCACTTTTAGTAGTTATTGCGTCCACAATCTCTAGAAGTAAAAATGCATAATAATCATAAATAACTCTACCTCCCAAATTGAATGAAGCTTCGAAAGCAATAGTAGTTGTTGGAACAGTTAGAACAACACGAGTAATTTTTGGAAGAATAAGGAATGTATCACAATTGGTTTTCCATCATAGCAAAAGATCAAACTAGTTTATTCTAGGATATACTAACTCCTCCAAGTACTATTCTAGTTCGACTTCTTTGGAGCATACATATTAAAAAACGACAAAGAACTTATATGTAATTTTTTGAAAATACATCATGATTGTTGAAGGATATACATTATTTGAACTTTAGAACAAATAAATTCTAAATTTCAACCTAATCTCATATTTATATTTTTTTATGTTTAAAGTTTACTATTTAATTTTTTTTTTTAATCTCTTGGATATTACAAACCCAAAGCCTCGGACTAATCTCTTATGTTTGGTCGGATGCATAAAGCGGACACAATTACCCAAATAGTTTTTTAGGTACACAAGAACTCAAAATCGAGACCACTTATATTTATTAAAAAATATTATTTTTAATTTCAAATTGGATCAGTATCGAATTGGATCAAAGTATATCCGAATTGGATCTATTTAATAAACAGAGTTAACGATTCAGATTAAATTAGACTCGGGTAGAAAAAAATTATTTACTTCATTTATTTAATTACATCGGATTCGGATCATATTCGGGTCAAGATCCGATCCATTTACACCACTACTTGTAGACATTGTAGACATTTTATCGAATAGATATAAGATATTATTATTAATTTTTTTTTTTTTTTGGAAAACAAAACATACGATAGCTTGTGAAAAACATGAGAAATGGTTATTGCTTGTGAGATTGCACGAGAGCAAGCTTAAGGGGACCAGATTGAAGTTCAGCCCAACGAAGAGTGCATACATTTACAGTGAAATCCAGCCCTGAGTATAAACAAGTTGCTTTAGGAACATCCTGGTGCAACTGTACGTATCCACCTAAAAGAGGCCACCTTGCCACTTGTTTCTCTCTCTCTCTCTCGCTAATTTCACTCGAAACGAGACATCGGGTGGGATAGGGCAAATTTTTTTAGGGTGGGGGCGAGGACGGGGATGACTATCCTCGCTCCCGCCCCGCCTGGCCATTTTGCCTTTAAAAATAGTAATTGACGAGGCCCCGCCCTGCTCCATTTGGAGCAGAGATAGTAGTCAAAATTTCTCTTCGAACGAAGCACAGGGCAGGATGGGACAAATTTTTTTAGAGCGGGGCGGAAATGAGGATAGCCATTGCCATCCCTACTTGGGTATAAGGGGAGCAAAAATGAGAAAAAGAAAGGAAATGATGGTCAGGTCCTAATGCGTGAAAGCAAATAGGAAAATAGTGGAATCCATTGATTTTTTCTCTGTTGTTTAAGGTTTTTTTTTAGACAAATTACACATGAATACATTATAAATTAATCCCCCTAAATTTAAGAAATAAACTAATTAATCTCTCTTATTTCAAAAATTCTTATTTAATTTTTTAATTAGTATTGACTATACTTAATTTAATATTATTTTTATTTTACAAAATCTCTTATTTTCTCATTAATTTTTTTTATATTTTATATTTTTGTATCTCTTAAAACAAAAATTCAAAATAAATTAAAAAGAAACAAAAATGACTAGATTATAAGTAGATTTCGAAATATAAAAACTAAATGATTAGTTGTTTAAAAATTAGGAACTAATTAATTTGTTTCTCTAAATGAGAGGGACTAATTAATAATATACTCAATTATACATACATGTCATGCCACATAAAATTGTCCGTTTTGATTAAAAAAAATGACAGAAAAACAGTCAGCAAAAAATTCAAGAGCAGAAAAAGATTATGAATTTTTTTTTAAAAAAAACACAAGAATCACATTTAATAAAAAAAAAAATAGAGAGTTTTATGCTATTAAACTATTACTTTATTTGTATTGTTCTGTCATATTTCCATTTCACTTAGAATTTGTTTATTTTTTTCCCCTTAACGACATAAAGAGGATCTAAGCTGAATGATTAAATTTTCATTACTGCAAAATAAGTCAAATAGGCTATATATGATATTGCAATTGAAGGTGAATCTCTGAGAAGAGAGAGATCGGATTTCAAGTGCATGGATTAAGGTTAATTTGCCTGAAACGCCTTGAAATGTCTCGATGAGATGTACATTGCATTTATATTATGAGCAAAGGAACATCAAGAAAAATCAAATCACAGCGAAGGAGTTCTCTCGGCAGAACCAGCAATGACAGTGAGCAAGTTGTTGCCAAAAGGATCACTGAGATGTTTTGCCAGGTTCTCGACAGGACCTTCTCCGGTAACGTAAGCTTGGATGAAGAAACCGAGCATGGCAAACATTGCAAGTCTACCATTCTTGATCTCCTTCACCTTCAGGAGTGCAGCTTGGTCAGGATCCTTTGCCAAACCCAATGGGTCAAAAGGACCACCTGGGTGAAGCTTGTCCTCGAAACCCTACCAAGAAAATAACACAACCATGTCATTGCTGCCATTGTAGAAAGAAACCAATAATTAATATCCAATCGTAAAGCTCTTCCAGCTTATCTGAGAGCCTTTGGGCAGGGCACCATTTATCATACAGTTCAAATGGATTTTAAACATCAAGAATCAATACCTTCTCAAATTACTCATAACAGGTTAAGGTCTTTGTCTAACATATAAAAGACGAAATTGGCACATTAACCTTGTACCTAAGTAACTAACTATCCTATTAACAATTCATAAAGCCTGATACTGTAGAAGGGCAGGCACATAAAGTCAGCTATACATTTGAGATCAATCATTAGATTAGGATGCAACTAAATAGAGTAAAAGCATAATACCAATCCATTGGTGATTCTGTAGTATTCAGCACCACCGACAAGGATAACCTCAGCTATGACAGCAACGGCAAGGTTGATGGGGATGTTCTTGCCAAAGTAGTTCAATGTGCTGCCATCAAGAAGTAGAGCTCCTGTCTGCAATAATTAAACGTAAATCATTTATACTATTGTCTAGCGTTATGATAATTTTCTATCAAGATTAACTCGGAAACAAGAAATCAACAATTGTCATTGAAAAAAACGTAAGGAGTTGCAAACCTTGAACCAGACAGCTTCAGGGCCACAGTTGGCTCCAAATTTGTTGAAGGCTTCAGGGATGATAAAGCCAGCTGCTCCAAGCATGGCCCACCTGGCGTGAATCAACTCAAATGCTTGATATCTGCAATAGAAAGTGTAGTCTCCATTAGTTTAAAAAAAAAAAAATCCACATGTGTTTAAGAAAGAAAGACAAGACAAGTCACAGTGAGTTGAAATACTTTTCGAAGTTTTCTGGCTTCTTGCTGAGACCAAAAGGATCGTAACCATAACTGCAAGTCACATGTAAGCAGATCATCAACATTTCCAGCTATCAGTCAAAGTGCTCATGATAGTGAACTTATAAACCATAGCTAGCTGTAATTTAATGTAAGAAAAATCAAGACCCAGTTTAGGTGAAGAGCAAGAAAATTAATCTTACTCTCCAGGGACTTCTCCAGTCAAGTATTCTGGGATCTCAGACCTGTCCAAGAGCCCTTCCGGCAAGAAAATTCTTCTGTCAGGACCTGAAACCGCCAAAGAAATATCGTTTGTTTCAAGCATATAACAGCAGCAAAACTCAACTTCAGCATTTACATGGAAAGAAGAGAAGATGGACAGAAATATGGCCCACTTACCATACCACTTTGCGAGCTCGTCATCAGCTGGCACAACAGCAGCAGGCTTAGCTTTAGGAGCAGCCTTCTTCTTGGAAAAAAGAGCAACCGTCTTGAATGTGACAGGGGTCGATGCAGTAGGAGCAGCAGACCTGGTGGCACCACTGAAATTGAGAGGGTTTCGTAGCATTTCAGACACTCCAAGGGAGGCAGCTGCTCTGGATGCTGCCAGGGAAGCCATCTCTCTTTGCTGCGAAGTTTTCTTCTTGTTTCGAGCTACTCGGGTGCTGCTGTTGTGGATTCGATAAGGTAACAATGGACTATAGAAAAGCTGAAGGAGATCCTTTATGCTTGAGCTGGTGGATGTGGACGTGCCACGTCGGATACACATTCATGGGTTGTGATTGGTTGGTTTAGAATATGTGTAATCTGACACCGAGGTTTGATAGGGTGGTTTTGTTGACGTGGAAGATTATGGTGCTGATGTGGAATGCTCTTGAACTTCATGGATTGCTCAAGGCCTTGGATAATATTGGTGGCCTATCCAAATTCTCATCCATCAATTTTTTTTTAATTATTATTTTTTATTTTTGGCGGATGCCGTGAAATTGTGTCGTTTATGCCAAGTCTTTTCACAAAATTATCCAAGTTTCAGCTGGCGATCTTAATCCTGAGAATACATTTTAGCATGTTAATTGCATAATAGAACTGTAATCCAAATCTTGAGAACTGAGAGGACCCAACCTGATATGTTCTATTTTTCCATTGCAAAGTGCCAACCACGAACTGCTTTCTAATATTTGGGTTTGCTTTTTTCAAGAATAGGACCATGGTTGTCCAATCCTCATGGCTGGTTTGTTTATTGTATCCTAGTGGTCTCACCACACCAATTTTGCTTGCCCATGAGAAATGACTGAACAAAGAATCATTATTGGCATGACAAAGTTTCCCCGATATAATCTATGTTGGTTTAGGGACACAAGCCTAGACTTCCAAGAAAACAATGGCTCATAATCATGGCTAAAAACCATCATTTTTAAGTCCAGAACTGCACTCCATGCACCAAGACTCGGCCACTCAGGTCCTCAACAGAACGTGCCAAAGAAGGCATTGGTTAAGCAAACTAGCTGATCAAAATAGGCATAACAAGGTAATGGGCGAAAATAGATCACTACACTGAGCATGTAAGTTCAAACACTCTTTAAAGTCGTAAGCCACCCTACGCGACAAACAAATCCATCATTCCATCTATTGAATAAATAACATTGACAATGGGCAAAATGAAATCATAGCTCTTATCAGTAAAATTCCTACCATAAAACAACTAAGAAGACAATTTGCCTCACTCCGACAGAGCCCTACCCCGCCCGACCCTGTCCCGATCAACCCAAGAATTCCCCGAGTTGATTGAGGAATGGGACGAACCCGTATTTATTTTGAAAGGGGATGGGACAGAAATAGTATTTGCCCACCCAACCCCGTTTGCCCGCTCCATTCCCGAAATTATAATTATACCTTGTATAAAATCTGTGACTACTCGACTCTTAGGGTTTAATTTCTATATAAACTATCATTTTTTTGCTATAATTTAAAATTTGATAATAGAATGGGACATGATAGGAAGAAAGCAAAAATTAAACGAGACACCGGTGCCCTGTAGAGATCCCTGTCCACGTTTGGGGCGGGTATGGCATTGCCATTCCTAAAAACAACTCTTAGGCAACCTAATATGTAGCTGCCACTTCACTAGTAACACTAAAAAATAATTGAAGGAAAACCTACCATTGATAATAATTTCCAAAAAAAAAAGAAAGTACTAAGAGAGAAAAAAAAAAAAAACCAGAAAAATTGACAATAATAGAAAGGGGAAAAAAAAGAAGAGAAAATTATCCAAAAAAAAAAAAAAAAAAATCAAGGAAAGCCATAAATACCTGTTATGCTGTAATATGATATCAAGGACAGAGAACTGAAGGGTGCATCTTTTTCAGTTTGCAACTTCATAGGAGACATGAATCTTTTTGGCCTATTGTGCAACAGAGAGAGCAACTCACCTGGTGCACAGGTTAAGCACCTATAGAAATGGCTTTTGATAATAGAGCATTAAAAAAATTTCCTCCAAGCACAATTATTGGCACAACTGAAACAAACATACGGTGATTTTCACAAATTTCCATCAGAAATATTGACTCTAAAATCTAAGAATATGCATATAAAACAAATATATCAGAATTTCATCTATACAAGCATTAGCGAACACTCTTGTTAGAGCACTCAGATCCAAACTAATGCAATTTACACCAAGTACCCTGCAAACTTCACTCATCTTCTCCACTTCTCAATTTCTCTTGAAGTTGCTTCGACTAGCTTCTTAGTGTTGATGACCAGTTCATCAACAAGGCCACCAATCTCATCCCTGACAAAAACACCAAGCAAAATTAATCACAGAAAAGAACATTTAACAAAATCCCAGTACTGCCACCTATAACTTGTTGGAAGCTCAAACTATACCATTACTAGCAATGCATAATAAAAGCCAGTGGAAACAAATACCCTTTCAATTCTTTTGGTTATTAATAAAGTTGTTCACAAGCAGAAACAGCAAATACAACGTAGCTAGTTAATAAGGACAAAATCACTAATAAATAAAATATGTCTAGCATAGGCCTAAAACCCCAATGGGAGCAATGAATTCATGCAAATTATAAAACAGAAACACCAAAAACAACACACACATATATAGAAGTATGTGTGTGTGACTGTGCATCTTTGTGTATCCATGGATAGAGGCAACAATGGTCTAATTGACAACATGAACAAATTTTGAAGTCAGAACCCACAAGCGTTATGTCATATGTTCCCATCACATTTAGTGTTTAACCTGATTCATATCAAACATGTAAATGAAATTTCATGCATTTTGTGAACAAAGTAATTCTAGCCATTGGAAAGTGAAAATAAAAGACACACTGACACTGAATCACAGGATGAAAAAAAAAAAAAAAAAAAATCCTTACCGTGGTCCAATACATATCAAAAATCACATTTTCACAAATTTTTGTTACTACAACAAACAAGGTTTGTTATCTGTCCACCCAAAAAGCTAAAGAATATTTCGTTCTAACCTTCAAATGACGAAATTTCATTATCACCCTATTTTCTCATCTATCATCATCAAACAGCAAATCCCATGTACTTACTGCCTCACCAGCATGGCCAGCCCCAGAAAGTGTCATTTAAAAAGAATTATTATGTTATTACCTTAAAGAAATCTAAACTAAAAGCAAATTTAATTTCTATGCAGTAATTATTCTCCCACTCTTGATAATAATTTCAGTAAATGCAGCTTTAGTGTTGGTTGTCCAAGCAAGGCTCCCCTTGTAGACTAGAAAAGGTTCCCAGCAAAACCAACTGGCAAGTAATCAAACTGGTTTCTATTTATACTACTGCAGCAGGTCAGTGAATGATCTGCTAAACGCATCCAAATAAAACACAGTCCATCTAAGCAAAGTTCAATGCAGTTGGAAAAAATAAACAGATAGAAACATGTTTTGATACTTACTGAGTTGGAAGATTTCCAGGACCGCGAAAATTCTTGCCAACATTAGAGTATCTCCGTTTCTCATCATGAGCTACGCCCCTCCCCACACCATAGCCAAATCCGTAACCGACCCCACATCCAGCACCCAATCCAAAGCCAAACTGTAAACCAGGAATTCCAGGACCAAACCCAACACCTGAAGAATTTACCACTTAAAACCTCAGTAAAACACAATGTAATCATCATCAAATGGCAGTAAAATAAGATCATCAAAAGCAACACAAGCTTCAGCCATCAAATAGAAATACCAAATGCAATCAAATAGCCCAACTGCGACAATAAAAAAACTTGCCCAATTGAGATAATCAAAGTTTCAGTCTTTCTTTAGAACCCATTTGGAGTAATTTAAAAAATGGGGGTTTTCTTTTTCTATGTAGAGACTAGAGAGCACATAAATATTGAAACAAAAAAATTAACAAATTGATAAACCGGAGAGGAAAAAAAGGAAGAAGAAGTGATCGATTACCTCCAACGAGGCCGACACCAAAACCAACGCCACAACCAGCACCAAAGCCGAAAGCAGGACCCACCTTCCCAAACTCCTTCAACCTCACCTCTGGAAGCTTCCATAGCAAACCCTTTTCCTCTTCATCACTCCTGTTGCTGCCGTTATAATGGTTCATCTCTCTCTCTTTCTCTGCTTCGATGTTTTCAGTTCATGTGGGGTTTAAAGCAGTGAGATTTGGGGCTTTCGGTTTTGGAGCTTTTTACAGCATTGGATTTGTCGCCTCAATTATTTTCGTGATTTTCTACAAAGAAAGGTGTAAAGTTACCCTTACAGGTTACGAAATGTTCCCCTTCAGTTCTAACTATGACTAGTACTTTACAATATTTTCCCTTTTTTTGGATGTTGGATTCAGTCACTTACAATTTTCAAATTTAGATTGTGTGACAAATTGATTTTTTTTTAAAAAAAAAAATATTAAACCTCTATTAAGATTTGAAAATTATTCCTTTTTATATGAAATTATCGTACAACCTCTATTAAGATTTGAAAATTAGATATCGATGATTTATAATATAAATTTCAAGTGTTTTTGTGCGAAAAGAATCTCTCACTAACACTAATTTTTGTGCCTAAAGAATCTCTCACTAACAACATTAATTGTTTTATGCTCCACTAAACCAACTCATGCAACTTCATGATTGATTTCTCCGACAATGAAGAATAAGGGGCCGCTTCATGCAAGTCTCTGACTAAAAAACGATGGTTGGATTTGTCGGTCGCTAATTGTCGGAAATTGTTATAAGAACACGTGTTATCCGTTCTAGTTCTCTCTCTCTCTTTTTTTTTTTTAAAAAAATGATAATAATAATAATAAGACATTGGACGGCTAGGCGTGGGAGCCTGGCTTCGGGGCCTTCCCATTTGTTTTTTATTCTAAAAACTTCTGTAGATCTCTTTAATTTTTGGAAATTCCTTTTGAAATCAAATGATGAAAACATTTTTTAAAAAATTAAGACTATTAACATTTCAAATAATATTAAAGATTTTTTAAGCTAGTAGTAATAATTATTTTACGTTGATAATATATGAACCTGCCGTGCATAACTTAAAAAATATTCAATTAAATTTTTTAATGCAATTTCTTAAAATTAATTGCTATTTTATGTTTCTCATGTTAGTTTATAAAAATTATTAAACCATGTGTATAGAGATGACAATCCAACCCATCCCGAAGCCGTCCTATTCTGTTTGGGACGAGGATGAGATATGAAATTTTGTCTCAAATGAAACACGATACAAGAATGAGTTTTTTTTTTTAGGGGTTGGACGGGGATGGGAATGATGATCTCTACCCTATCCCGTTTGAGCAGAGATGGTAGTGAAATTTCGTCCCAAACAAGATACTGAGTAGGATTGGATTTTTTTTTAAAGGACAGGGCAGGATGGGGATGGCGATCCCCGTCTCGTCCCGCTCCATTGCCATCCCTATATGTGTCTTATTTACTTAAACTTGTTAGGAATATTATAATATATTTTTATTATAACTCTATACATAAAGACAAATAAATCATGTTTTTATTTTTGAAAAAATAAATTAATTACTCCATAAAGACAAAGAAAGATTAACTCAATATAAATTTTGATGAAAAATTATTAATGAGAAAATATTTTTCCCTCTGATTTGATTCAATATTTGAGTGGGGCCGCGTAAACACACGGACCATCAAACCAGATGGTTTATCTCCAAAGCAAAACAAAATGGACTTTTGATTTTTGAGACAGAGAGCAGATAGCGAGCAGATGACATGAACACTGCAAAAACTTACACTAGACTTTGCACCTTACGTTTGTTCGCTAAACCCTCCTTCTCTCTTGTTTCCAAATGTAGTAGCAGTATTAGTAGTAGTCTACATGGATTAAACTCCTTGTCACTTCAAACCAAACACTATCTTCAACCACGGTCTCGCTTGAACCATGCTGTATCATCAACAGCACACCGTGGTCATCTAATGGTGCAGGACGATCTCCATGCTTTCTTACAGGTATCTTCTTGTTTTATATTGCTTTTCTTCAAATGGGTTTCAGTTTCTTTTCTTTCTAGTTTTTATTTTTTTCTGGTTGTGAGTAGGAATTTTATGCCATTTCAATTGTTCATGATGATATGTTCTATTAATTGAATAATTGGTCTTTTTGGCAGATTCTTCCTTTTGATTTGCGTGAAGTTCTACAAGATGATCCCAAGAGAGATCAACTCTTAGAGGTGACTCTGCTACATTTTGTTGATGAAGATATTTCACTTGCCTCTTCCTTGTATTTTTTTTTTTTTTTTAAATCTCAATGCTAATGAATAGAAAGAGATATAATCAAATTTTCATTAAGGTTATTTCAAATTGTTTAATTGGTCTAATATTGATCAGAGTTTATAACTAGGGATGCTTCAAAGTCTGGTAACTTGTTCTCTATTATTCCACTTGCTGTAAGGCAAAGGCTTGACTATCGTTCTTGTGGTAGTTATTGAATGACCTAATAACCATACTCAATAAGTCAATTTCCTTTGTTGTCTTCCTAGATTATATGACTTTTAATTCCTTTTTTTTTTTCCTGTGATCTTGGTTAGAAGACTAGAATGTTTCCTTCTGAAGGCAATTACTGCCCAAGAGAGATGCTTTTTTGTTTCCTCATTCTGCATAGCTAGAATATAGAACTTTTTAGTTTATTGTTTTGAAATAGTGTCATTTCAAAAAGTCCACTAAACATGTTGCTTTCACATAAACTGGTAGTAGTGTATGGCTGTATCTATAGGTTATATTGGACTTGGGTCGCTTGCCAGAGGCACGCTATCTTGGTGAATATGGCGGGAAGTACTTAAGGAGTACTGAGGTAGTTTCATTCCTTCAAACCTATGAGGTTTCATTTGTTTGCTTAAGTATATGCATTGACTTGTCCTTCTGAACTTAATTATGCCATTGTCTTTAATTTCCATCCTTTTCTTTCATTGGTCACTATGAACTTTCTGAACCTTGAGCTGCCTATTTACTCAATGTTCATCAATAAACAGGACATGGTAATTCGTTGAGATAATAAATTAACAACAAAGTATTCTTTAGTAATTTTGATTACTGATTACCCATTCAACATGTTTATTAGTTAGATATCATTGAAAGAGTTGGAATATGCTCAAAATGCTGTTGGAGAATTTGGAGGTGATAATAGAGCTGGGATTGAGGGTACCTTACATCGAATATCTGCAATACGGAGTAGGAAAGGAGTGATAGTTGGTTTGACTTGCCGAGTTGGCAGGGCTGTAAGTGGTCACATTGACATGGTCCATGATCTGCTTCCTTTTGGGCAGAGCATTCTGTTTGTTGGAAGGTATCATTGCTGATTCATAATTATATTAAAACATTGCTTCCTACTTGGAAATTATGCAAAAGGCTAAAATTCAATGGGAGAAAATCCTATGGATGTATAATTATTTAATTATGTCATGCATAGCTTCCAAATGGCCGTAATTCTGTTTTTTGTTTTTATTTTTTTATTTTGACTTCGTTTGCATTTTCTGTTTTCAAATTGTTTTTCTTGTTTCTATGTTTTAGCTTGAATAACTATGTCTTAAATTTTTCCCAGTCATTTTTCCTTCGCTGCAAATATGTTATTCCATAAAAAATTCTAAAAAATACAACTCATTATCATATTGATTCATTTTTGCTATGTTACGTTGTTGTACTGATAATTCCCAAAGGCCTGGGGTCGGCAAGACTACTGTTATGCGAGAGATTGCACGTGTCTTGTCAGATGAATTTCTCAAAAGAGTGGTATGTAAAGTTTCTTACTATCATATAACATCGTCACTACCATCTCTCTCTCTCTCTCTCTCTCTCTCTCTCTCTCTCTCTCTGAGTTTCATAACTGCGTTCATTTAAAAAAAAAAAAAGAGTAAGAAAACGTAGTTTGAAAAAATGTTTGTATGTTGATAGGTGGTTGTTGATACTAGCAACGAAATAGGAGGGGATGGAAATATTCCACATGCAGCAATAGGAAATGCAAGAAGAATGCAGGTTCCAGATCCATCTCTGCAACACAGGGTCATGATTGAGGCGGTAGAAAATCACATGCCTGAGGTGATTGTTGTTGATGAGATTGGCACAGAAGCTGAAGTTCTTGCTTGTCGTTCAATTGCTGAGAGAGGCATCATGCTTATTGGTACTGCTCATGGAGAACGACTCAAAAATATAATAAAGAACCCGACTCTCTCTGACCTGGTTTGTTCTGTTCATTCTATCAAATTCCAAATTACGAAATCTATTGAATGCACTTAATACCAAAAGCAACTTTCGTTAAACCGTATGATATTCTTCACCTGCCTGGAGTTGGATTTTAGCAAATATATTAGAGCAGCTAAATCAGTAATTTGTTTCTCCATTTCATAGATATGTGTCATATCATTTCTTGCAATTGATTTCTGCAACCTTATAAAAGTATGATCGCTTATCACCAAATTCATTTTCCATATTCCACCATTTTGATAATTGATGCTCCAATTTCTAGTCTAAAGCTGCCATTGTCTGCCTTTCTCTTGCATATGACACTTCACAGTAATGAGGATGGTAATTCTAATGGGAAATTGTTTGTCAGGGTTATAAAGGTGCTTTGACTTCTTTCACATGCATTTGATACTTCGGTTAGTTTCTTTGAGGAGGAGGGGGGTTGGGTGTTTGTGTGTGTGTGGGGAGACAAGGGGTTTAAAGGCATACTCTTTTTCACTAATATTTAGTAACAATACTCTAGGGTAGTCTGTGAACTTTTGTAATATTCACTTAACTTGCTTCATGTCTTCCCAGAAAACAATAATTCTGCTTGTTTGTGTGATTCTTCAACTTGTTAGTGGATAGTTACATTTTTCATTTTCTAAATTTTCCATTGGGCTTTGTTAGCATTTGACGTTAAATGATAAAACAAACCTGAAATTGTTGATCTGAAAAGACTTGTTTCCTACATTTGTTGCATTCTGTGGTCCTTTGAATTCAAAGTTTCATCATAATCGATGAATGAGAGTTCTATATAAAGTTTTGTGTATATATATATATATATATATTTTTTTTTTTTTTTTTGAGTGATAATACTGCCAAAATTCAAGAATGATGGTTAAAGATTCTCCTATGTTACTGTCATTGTTTCAGATTGGAGGCCTGGAAACTGTTACTTTAGGAGATGAGGAAGCACGTGCTCGGAGGAGTCAGAAAAGCGTTCTTGAGAGAAAAGGTGCACCGACATTTGATTTCTTGATCGAAATGAGAGAGAGACATCATTGGGTTGCACATCGGGTATGTTTCTATTTCTTCTTTTATAATGAGGAACAAAGTAGAACCTCTTCATCTCAAACAACTGAAAGCACTCAAGTAGTGACCTTCCAGGGGCTATGCTTCTTATGTGGGTCAATACTTATGCAATGGAGAAGTGATTAGGATTGTAATGAAGCAGACTAATCCAGTAAACCAAGCACCTTATAATTCCCCTAAAAAAATAAAAACTAATCACTTTTACTCTATTGGGATAGCTTTCATTTGCTGAATATTTGGATGAATTGATGGGCCCAAAATTGCAATTGCAATGGCCATCATGTCTGTTTTTGAAGGCCCAGCTGGTTCTAATAATTCTTAAGGGGGCTCTATATTCTGAACATTCCCATATGAAACAGGGCTTATTCTCAACCTTTTGCAATAAAGAACTGGAAAGTTTATTTTTATACCTCCAGTATGTAGGCCAAGTTTGTTAGAAATTCTGCTGAGGCTTTTGCAGTAACATAATGGCCCTAGCTTAATCTCTTATTAGGTTCATGTATGTAAGATCATCATCTGCTATGCTGCTTTCATAGGTAAAGCTGTAGTGTGATGCATGCTAAAGACAGTATCACAATTCAAAGAACTTTTCCTGTTCTGCTCTGAACCAATCATGAAACCCAAGATGGAACATTCTAGAATGAATTATGAATACATCAGCTCAACCTTAGGTTATAAAAGAACTTGTCCAAAATAGAAATTCGAGGAGGACTAGTCTCTATCAATTGAGCCAGTTCTATGGTTCCTGAAAGAACACCAAAATAGTTAGTTGTGGAGTTGCATTATCCAACTATTCTGCAGGAAACAAGATTGAGTTGTGTAACCCACAGCATAGGGAAGTGGGTGTCCCATGTCCAAGTTGTATTTAAATCGGAGATTAAGGTTTAAGTGGAACAAGGATATCCCTTTGGTGTGTTGTTCTAGCTAAACTTCGTGTAGCATCTGTGTGCCAAATGGCACGGATCACATTCCAGGGTCCATTACTGTGCTGGAGCATAACGGGCTGGAGCTGGAAGTTTCTGAACTTTACATCCTTTATGCTGGTGTTGGTTGTCTTTGGGACGGGCTGAAGCTGGATTTCTCAACTTTCTCCTTTTATGCTGGTGTTGGACTGCTGGTTTGTCTTTAGGAATATTTGATTATTGTCGTGTTCGCGAATGGCTGATTAGATTAGCTCATTCTGTAATTTTCCGGATCTCTGTAATGTAGCAAATCATGCATATGCATATAAATTGTATGCATGTATGCATATATATATATATAGTGTAAAATGCCAAGCCAGGTACAAAGCTTTCTTTCATTGCTTGTGAACATGTTAGCTATGGTTCCAGCAGGATGCCAACCTCATAAACTTCTGTACTGAAGTATATGTCTCCTGGTTTAGTTTATTCAGTGGTTGAGGGAGAGCATCTTTAGATAATCTGATATATTATTGTATTATTAAGTTACTTTCACATTTTAATGTCATTTCCTTTTATGCTTGTATTTGGCAGACGGAGAAGAGTGTGGATATGTTGCTCCGTGGGAAAAGCCCATTAGTTGAGGTAATTCTCCATTCCTCTATATGCTAATCACTTTGGTATTTGATTACAAGGATTTAAATTTTAATTACTCTCTCCAGCTTTTGATGAAAACAATCTCCAAAATTCCAAGTCAATATTTGAATTATTTGAGCCAAATTTGCATGTGTGCAATTGATAAATGATGGTACAACAGTAGTGTTCCCTTTTTGTACCTTTATCTCGGGTTTCATAACCAGTTAACTGGAAGATATGCGAGAATTTCTTGGCCAATTTGTCCCAAAAAATAAGTGCCAATTTTGTTGAAGTTTAGGATTGCAAATGGTAACCTTTCGGTGCATGGATTTTACCTCTCTCTTTTCAACCTTTTTTGTCACTTAGCAAGATTGGAAAAATTACCAGTTGAGCATAGCCCAAGCATGACTAACCAGTTCATTATTTGAAGTTGTTATTTCATTGGTCCAATCTTCCAATTCACTGTGAGAGACTAAACTAAGTTTTCTTACAATTTACAAATTTTTTCACCACAACTTGGATTTACCCCAGTAATCTTTCATATTCTAAATTGTCACGTGAAATCAAAAAATAACTTGAAAGTCTCTCTTTGACCCAAGACTTGTTTTCATAAGATGTTTGAAAACTTACATATGCTGATGATGGAAAGATTCATTTATTTCTCATTGTTATATGCTACTTCCAAAGATATGGTGGCTGTAATTTAGTTGAGGCCATGGGGCCAAGGTCCAGGGTTCAAGAAAAATATTTGTGCATCCAATTTTACATTTATTGGGATATGGCTTTATTAACGTGATGTGTTATAAATTCTAACTTGCAATGAAAACGGCCCATCCTTGATCTTCTCTTTTGTTTGGCTGGCATCAAATTGTCCCCTTTTGTACACTACAATTTTGTTTTAACCTATTTTACCACTGACCAAAAATCTTTACCTTGTGTTTGCAGGTCAGGAAAAGGAATAATCAGTTTAGGGTTGTAATAGAACGATGGAAGACATACGACGAAAATGAAATTTAGCACTTTTCCTTCTCTTTTATGTTTATCAAGTTGATGCCTTCTCTTTCTCCCTCTCCGTAATATTTTTGAAATATATCTTTGTAAGTTGGACATATGGAATTTTGTTTCTTTCTAGTGCTGGACATTGCTAAAAGTCTAGAACTTGAAGAGTGTCCATGTGATATAAGATCCATATCAATGGCCACATTAATTTAATGAAATCTTGTTGCTGGACATTGCAGTGAGTAGAAATGGCAGACTTTAAAGAAGAGACTGCACCCTTCACTAAAAGCAGAGAATTCGTTTCATCTATATTAATGTCCATTTATTTGAAATTCGGTGGGGCTTCATTTTGGAATGGTAGAGTAGCTAGAACTGTTGTTCTTTCTGATTTTGTTGCAGCCTTCAAGCTATGAAGAGAAACTTTCAAGTTGGGAAGTGCAGTTTGTGGTAAGATCTAAAAAACAGTATCTTTAGTAGTCATGGCATTGTGAAGAATATTGGTGAAATTAGCTTCTTGTGCCTTTTTTTATATATTTTTTTCGCACGTATTTAGTTTCTGAGATATTTTACTCTAGGACAGGTCTGCCAAAAGATTGTTCTTTCTGGATCTTCTTGGTTAACTTACGACTATGAATTAATTCCTTGTAAAATGAACTATACAGATACCCTTAATCATGTCGTCCTCTGATGCCAAACTGTACCTTTTCTGCTTAGTGCATGTTTGATATATTTATCCCTAGTAATTTTTCTTTTTTTTTTATAGGATTTAGACGGCTGGAAGTTTAGTCTCTTCTTGACATTTTAACCTTATAAATTAATGGCTGCGTGTGATTAAGATATATATATATATACACACTTTGTAATTTTGTACGGTCTTTATTTATGATCTTAAATAAGATAAGATCAGAACAAGGGAACGGATCCACAGAGTTGACTCCAACTTGTTTAGTTTTAAGGTTTATAGTTGAGTAGATAAATAAGATTCAAAGAAGCTACCTGGTTTATTTTGTTCTTTGTTATGTATTTTTCTTCTTAGTGGTTCTGAACTTTCTCTTAACATCTATGACAAACCATACATATTTATTTCTACATTTTCGTCACTATCTTGTATAGGCATGCTGAATATTATATTTAGCTAAACGCTGTTGACTTCATGAGACACATCTTTTGCCTTGCTCGACTCATTATAGTAGTAGAATTTTATTTTATTTTATTTATTATTTTTTAATCAAGCCAATTAAGAGTGCAGGCAACTCTCATATCAAAGAGTCAATTTTTTATCTTTTATTTTTTTTAATAAACCATATTAAATTCTTTTATGGCCAAAGCTAATGATCATTACAGCAGTCAATGTCCATAGACCATGCATGGTCATGGTGGGGCATGTAAGAATCGGTTGGAGGACTGCTGTGATAGATATTATTATTAAGGGAATCAAACAACATATATATAAATGTAGTAGTTAGAATTAATTGTGGAAGGACGGCAAACATATAAATTTTTAAGAGTTTGGATAATACATAAACAAAACAGGGCATATGATGTCATACAGTTACAACGTGTCAACGATTTTAGGAGAAACTTCAATTTAGCCTCCCATTACCCCATTTTCAATTGAATCCTATACCTTTTAATTTTATCAGTTTTGATCCAACTGGGATAGATACTAGACAAGGTCATCCCTCTATGCATCTCTGTTAGAAGCAAACAAAAGATTATGTTCAATTTGCATGTGATTGCTAAGTGCTTCCATCCAAACTGCAAAAACAAGCTCAATTTGCCATAGATGATAATTTTAGGATCAAATTATAATAAATTTTGCTACTCTCCACAAGTTTGTATTAAACCTGAAATGAAGAAAAATTTACTGTGATTTCACCTTTTAAATAGAAGCACTTAATGATCATGTGTGAGTTAGAGGAAACTTTTTAACTGATACAGACAATTGATTGATAGAGAGGAGACATGATATTGTCTAATGTCGTATGTTTAGGATAAATTTTAAAGGCTTAGGACTCATTTGATAAGATAATAATTAATACATTAAGGGCTAAATGAGAGGTTTTCAACCAATCTTTGTCAATTATCCTAATAATAGCAGATATAGTAGTTACGGCATGGATGCTAATCTTCATAGAATTACACCAAATCGAAGTGATCAATTTTATACATTACTGTTTTTTTTCTAAATTGATGCAGCCACTTTAATGAATAAAAACACCTGACCAAACATAGGCAGGCCTTGGATGCTTATACTTGTCTTGCCTATATGGCTCTACTATCTTTACCATGTTGTTCTTGCTTATTGTATTCATGTGCAATCATGTTCAAGTTAATTTATATGCGTACTTCTCTCTCCAACCTATATATATATATATCTTGGTATCTCGTGCAAATTATTGTATGTGACTTTTGTCACCTTTCAATGGTAGTTTAATTTCGAGACCGTTAAATATGGAGGGAGTTCCTCTTTGCTATATGAGGCAACTATTAAAAGAAATGCCGGCCACTTAAGTGCTCTCTTAACCTTGATTTCTCCATCCTTTTGTCTTCAAGGTATGATATGATTCTCCACTTTTTCAATATAACCCTTTTCTCCTCCACTCCATAACCAACCTTCTCTATCAAGGTCAAAGCTCTAAGCAACCATGGTTAACTTGATGAGAAACCCATCTCCCCTATTTCTCTTCATGTCATTTGCTCTTGTAGTTCGTTCTCTATGTGCACCAGTAGACCAAATTACTTCTTGCTTAACTAAACATGGCATAAACAATTTCACTACATTTCCTAGCACACAAAATGATGACAACTCAACAACTTACTATAAGCTTCTTGATTTTTCCATTCAAAATCTTCGCTTCACAGAGCCAACGATTGCCAAGCCGTTAGCCATTATCCTGCCTGAGAGTGTAGATGAGATAGTTCAGAGTGTAATGTGTTCTAGGGAAGGATTGTTAGAAATAAGGGTAAGGTGTGGTGGGCACAGCTACGAGGGGACTTCATCAGTAGCTGCCGATGGAGCTCCTTTTGTGATTATAGACATGATGAATCTGAACAAAGTTTCAGTCCATTTGGAGACGGAAACAGCATGGGTGGAAGGAGGTGCAACACTTGGCGAAACTTACTCAGCTATTGCTGAGGCAAGCAGCATTCATGGATTCTCAGCTGGATCATGTCCAACTGTTGGAGTTGGTGGTCATATTGGAGGAGGTGGATTTGGGCTATTGTCTAGAAAATATGGACTTGCAGCAGATAATGTGGTTGATGCTCTAGTTGTTGATGCAAATGGACGTTTGTTCGACAGAAAAGCCATGGGAGAGGATGTGTTTTGGGCTGTTAGAGGAGGTGGTGGAGGTGTATGGGGCATTATTTACGCTTGGAAAATCAAGTTGTTGAAAGTGCCACAAGTTGTCACTGGTTTTATAGTCTCTAGACCTGGCACAAAAGACCATGTAGCCAAGTTAGTGAATAGGTGGCAAGGGGTAGCACCCAACTCGGATGCTGATTTTTACATGTCATGCTTTGTAGGTGCTGGTCTGCCTGAGACAAAAACTAGAGGAATATCGGCCACATTTAAAGGGTTTTATCTAGGTCCAAGACATGAAGTTGTATCTATCCTAAATCAGGTTTTTCCTGAATTGGGTATTGCAACAGAAGACTGCAAAGAAATGAGCTGGATTGAATCAATCCTATTCTTCTCTGGCCTAAGTGATGGAAGCTCCATGTCTGACTTGAAAAATCGGTATCTGGAAGAGAAGAACTACTTCAAGGCCAAATCAGATTATGTGAGGAGAAACATTTCTTTTGAAGGTATAAGAACAGCCCTGGACATACTTGAAAAAGAGCCTAAAGGGTATGTCATCTTAGACCCTTACGGGGGGATGATGCACAATATAAGCAGTGATGCCATTGCATTCCCTCACAGAGAAGGTAACCTTTACGCAATTCAATACTTGGTGGAATGGAAAGAAAAAGATGACAACAAAAGCAACCAGTACATTCACTGGATAAGAGAATTTTACAATGCAATGACGCCCTTCGTGTCATGGGGTCCAAGGGCTGCTTATATCAACTACATTGACTTTGACCTTGGAGTGATGGGGTTGCTCGATGACAATACTAGTACTGTTCCAACAAGAGATGCTGTGGAGGTTGCTAGGCTTTGGGGTGAAAAATACTTCTTGAAAAACTATGATAGGTTGGTTGGAGTCAAAACACGTATTGATCCAGACAATGTTTTCAGTAACCAACAAAGCATTCCTCCTGCAGTGGGCTTCAAAGCAGAGATTTAAGTACGTGAGATCAGATAAAACAAGCTTGTGCTCAAAATTATTAAATCCAAATCACTTCGCCATGTTATAGAATGTCAGACATATATAGGTACTTATTTTTCTCCTCTATTCCATATTTGAACTGGGTGTATTGTATATGTACATTTCCTTCTCTTGTTATTATCCTTTTATATATATATATTTCCTTCTCTTGTTATTATCCTTTTTATATAGTTTGTGGGTGCGGATTGGAATTTGAGCCCTGCTTCTATCTGGGGCCTCGGTCTCGAATATTTAATTTAACACTGAACCAATGTATACAATTAGCATCTGCTTGTTTCTTGTTATTAATTTGTTAATTACTACTATGCGAATGTATTAAATATAAGGCAACAATTATTGTTGAATCATGATACAAAAGCAATAAAAATCAAATATTTGAATGAAAATAAAAGGTATTAATTAAAGACATTAAGTGACTGGTATTTTATGTTGTAATATTTTTCACTGTTCAAAATAAATTTTATAACTAAAAACGAAAGTGAAGATTGATTTGGAGTATTAAATAATTGTTAACAAGTGCTCTAAAAACACCCATTAGCCGAATCCTAAATATAAATGAAAATTGTACCATTGTACGTAAATGATGATTGATTTCATTGTTATCTTAGATTTTTTTGTGTGGAAGAGTTTTTTGAGAATTAATCAAACGATTGATTAATAGACTGATCAATATATAGAAAGTTAGTATTGTGACTTATATAAATAATGATCAACCAACCAAGATAGATAGTTGCAAATAGTGAGAGGTGTGAGAAAAGAAGCATATAGTGCTAAAAAGATGTAAATCAAGTGATTAGTAGGTCGATCGAGTCATAGTCCAAACGAATGGTGCTTTAGATATTGTTTAGTGTGTGAATAGAAGAGTTTTGATAGAGAGAGGTGAAAGGTTTTTTGCTAGGGATCAAAATTTGAATCCCTTCACAATAATGTAAGGTTGGTATTTATAGTAAATTAAAGATAGCTTTTGACTCGCTAGGATCATGTCATGTTATTTATGTTTGGATGCTCATATTTGAGTTGAAGAAAGTTGGATTCTTTTAAGCTAAATTGCTTCAACTTGCTAGCAAAAAGGATTTTCACTTTCAACGTTTTTTCTCTTGATCTTTTGCCTCTTGGCCATATACTTCGTCTCTTTTTTCGTACTATTGAAACCTCTAAGTAGACGAGCATTCTCCTCTTGTAATTCAGCCATAGTAATGAGATATAGCTTATGTCTTTTGGGCGGCATCTCTACAAAATTGGTCAAAGAACACACAAGAAACCAATCTTAAATCCGATGCCAAGTTGATATCATTTTTGTGAAGAATTAGAACAAGTCAAATGCTCTTAAGTTAAATTTTATGGCTACCGAATTGAAATCCTTTAAAGATCAAGGAATCTTTGACCTTTCTCTTCAAATTAATAGATGAAACAAAAATTTCAGCTTATTTAGTGTCGATCGAAACTTAAAGTAGATGAAACACTAGTTTTTTTTTTTTTTTTTAATAATCTTGACAAAGTTCTAGAAAAACTCCACCATAGTGTTGCTAAGTGATGTAACCCTAAATAATTTTAGCAAGGCTAGAAACCCCATTACACTTTTGGTTAATCTAGTTGATCAATAGCACCATCTTGAATGATCAAGTTCAAGGATATAGAACAAAATCCTAAGTAATGCACAAGAATTCAAAGTATTTAAAGAAAATTCTCAAGAGTTTATTAATCAATAATCAATTGTGTTTCTCTACAAAAGTATATGATCTTATTTATACTAAGTAGTACTGGCCACACAAGAAAAATAAATCCTTGGTATATTTAGTCATTTAAAGATAAGATAAGACTAAGGAAAAAAAAAAAAAACTTGTCCAACATGGACTACAAAACTCCGATCTAATCTCTTTATATGACTAAAATTTCTAATCTAAATCAAATATAGAATTTTAAAAACACTTAAGCTTATTGTTACTATCAAATCGTGATTTAGGTGATCTAAATCAATTAAGGTAACCTAAATAGAGTAAGGTGACCTAACCAAACAAGCCAACCTAAAAACCTACATATATTCGAGTTCATGTAAAAAAGAAACTCCTTAGCCTCAATGATCATAACTTTTCAGCCTAGTTGAGGTTCTTAGACAAACTTCATGTCATACTATGATGAAATTCTATACATATTTAAATATATTTGTCAACAAGTCATAAACCAATCAACCGACCGATTTGGAATTTGGGTTGTCAAAGGTCTTAAACTCACTTTAATATAAATAGATATTAAATCCTAAGAAAAATAAAAATGAGATGAAACTCAATTTCATTATCAATTGGGCTTGAAAACCTTTATTCGCAACTATTTTGAAAACATATCAAAAACAATTTATTTATCAATAAGAATGATCAAACTAACAACAACATCATGAAATCGCACGGTGATAAAAAAAATTAGCAAATCTACCATTACATCACGGATCAATAAATTCTTATTGCAAATCGACAATGGTATTGAAAAAATAAAAATTAAAACATTGTCAACCAACAACATTGTAGTAAAAATTGTTTTCATAAAATCAAGCGACTTGATAACATCATCACGAATCATAAAATAAAAAACATTGTGAATCGATGATAACATTGTAAAAATCATTTTTGTAAAATTTAGCAAACCAACAATAATATTGCGAATCATAAAATCAAAAACATTATGAACCAATAACGAGCATCATAAAAATTATTTTCATAAAATCAAGCAATCAAAAAATGACATCACAAAAGTAAAATAAAAAACATAAAAAATTGATAACAACATTGCTAAAATCATTTCACAAAATCAAATTAACCGACAACGATGTTGCAAATAAAAAAAATCAAAAATATTTCGAACCGACAAACATTGCAAAAGTTATTTTTGTAAAATCAAGCAAACCGACAACGACATCACAAAAGGAAAATAAAAAACATAAAAAATTGGTAATAACATTTCTAAAATCATTTCATAAAATCAAACTAACTAACAACAATGTTGTAGATCAAAAAATTAAAAATATTTAGAATCGACAAACATTACAAAAAATATATATTTTTTAAAATCAAGCAAACTAATAACAACATAGCAAATAATAGAATTGAAAACATTACGGACCAATAACAATATCACAAAGATCATTTTTGTAATATGAAGTGAACCAAAAATGGCATCGCAAACTAGCTTTAAAACATTACGAACTAACAACGAGCATTGCAAGGATCATTTTTACAAAATTGAGCAAACAAAAAATGACATCGTGAACTAGTTTTGAAAATATTACAAACCGATAATAGCATCATAAAGATCATTTTCTTAAAACTAAGTGAAATGACAATGACATCACAAATTAGGATTGAAAATACCGCAAATCAACAATAGTATTGAAAAGATCATTTAAAAAAAGCAAACGAACTAATAATGGTATCGCTAATCAAAATTAAAAACACTACAAACCAACAATGGCATCACGAAGATCATTTTTATAAAATCAAACAAGCCGATAGTGATATTATAACCCCTATCACACGAGAATCCTTGCCTCGAGGGTCATGGTCGGATGGATCGCTACTAAAACCTATATCCTTTTATTATTCTTAAACTTTGTTCCTAATTTAAATCTCATCATTATTAAACATATCATTCAAACCTGTCATCAATGATATAACAACATGATCATCTCATTAACATAATGGAATCATTTCGTTAAAATTTCATTTATACTCTATCTCAACATCATTACCATAATTCTTTACCAAAATATAAAAACATCCTACATCATCATTCAACAACCATAAATAATTTCAACCTACTTGTTCTTACTCGGTTGCTAAACAATAATTCTCAACATTCAAAAACTTGACATTCTTACATCTAATATTCATAAAATCATTCATAAATCTTAAAGATTCATACATAAACTCGTATTCATTCGTTAAAACATAACTCATTCTTAATTCCTTTAAGAACACTCAAGGCAAGCATATGAGTTACTAATCACCAAGAGCAACATCAATATCCTCAATATTTGCATCTATACCTACACCACATAAAGGACATGAGGTATGAATATCTTAATAAATGCAATATGAATGATCTTACATTGAAAATTTTCATTACATAAATGTCTTTTAATTTTTTTTCCTTATTTGAGCCCATTAGAAGATGCCAACCTAATGCACCAACCCCTCAAGTTTGACTTTTTCTTTGCAGTGAGTCTCCTAATTGTGGCCACTATGCTAGTGGGGTCTATGCTTAATGAAAACATATAGTTACATTAATCTCAATATTTAGCAGTTAAGTCTCAATCTTTAAATCTCGACATTTAAGCCTTAACATTTGCAACCTCAACATTTAAAATCTCAATATTAAAATCTCAACGAGTTAACCTTGACCTTTAACATTAAAATCTCAACATGCATTTAAAACCTTTTCTATTATAAACGATCATTTACTTATGTACCTCATTTATTTATTTATTTAAAACATGTCATTTCGTAACAGATCAATATGTAAAACATATGAATGCACCTCAAAATCAATAACATCACATCATTCACATTAAATACATAGCATCTACGTCTATCGTGTAGATGAGTTACACTTATCCGATTTGTTTAAAACCACTACCGACTATAACTTTTCTCTAACGATCAGTACTTTGACTCAATTGAATACCTTAAACACATGCATCATATTACACAAGAAATTGCAATTTGTCATATAACTCATTCACTATAGGACCAAAACAAAATTTGGCTATCTAACCCTAAAAATTCACTATAAAAAAAAATCATTCACTATAGGAAGGGAGACGAGAAAAATTCGGGAGATAGAGAACATAGAGGAAAAAAACCTAAAAGCAATAGTCTTTCTTAAAAAATCTCATCCGTCATAAACCCTTACGACCATCTCCTCTACCCACTAGCTAGCCGCCTCCACTAGCCGCTAATCGATCTGCAAATAAAATAGCCAAATAGCCCCTAAGAAAAACCACATGACTTGCTAATCTGCTAACCCAACCCGTTTGTGTTATTTTTGAAAGTCGACCAATTTTTAAAAAATTAAGCTCCCAAAACAAGCCGGACATGTTCCTCTCTAAATTTTAAGCAAAACCATAATAAAAACTTGCCAAAAAAAAAACCCTAAATCTTTGGAAATCAGCAAGAGAACCCACTATCGACCCATTTATTTTCTCTCGAATCTTAACGTTTTTCAGCCAAATTAATGGCTTCCACCCCCGTAGAAATTCTCCTCTAGCCTCCAACATCCATTCCCCTCTTGAAATTATGGAAGAAAATGAGTGAATTAATAACGATTGGTCGTTGAAGCAATCCCAACTCGCAATAGCTCAACCTATTTAAATCCTCTATTTTTTGACCTTTTAAGGCCAAATCAAAGTTCCTTCATTTTCTAAAGGTTATTCTCCATTTATATTAGCTCTTGAAATTTTTCATTATCTCTAAAATTGGATTAAAGAAGAAAGGAGAAGGAAATTGAATCTTTACCATCGCCGATCTCCCTCATTCGTCAACAATGACCAACAAGACCACCATAAAAAGATCGAGGAGGACCTCCTCCACTCTATGAGATAGCCCGGATGCTTGAAGATGGTCACGGGAGGTGTCACCAATGCTTGGAAAACGATGGCGCATGTAGTAAAAGTGCGGGGGCATTTTCATAATTTTCACTATCGAGGGCATTTTAGTCATTTCACAATAAAATCCTCAACTTTTCAATGGATATTTGTTTCTCCTCTCCAACTAACTAAAAATAAATTAGTCTTCATTGGAGTTGAAGAAACTAAAGCGGACCCTAAAAAGACATTTCAATAATTTCATATTCTACAAACATCTTAATGGCTTGTCATAGTCTTTTGACTACTAGGTAGGTTATTGAAACTTCGAAATTCAATTTATGCCATCCGAGAATATGTTGGAATTAATTACGAGTGTTGAAAATTTTATTATTTGAGTGAAATGTTTTTATTGTGATTGATTGAGTCTTACTAAGTATGCCAATTTGCATGCTAATTTTTGCCATTTCCTCATTTGTGTTTGAAAATCAAAATTCTAGAATTTGTGTCCGTCCAAATTGCGATTTGAACCACTTTTTATTGATTTTTCCTTTGGCCAATTTTTCCAAAATTCACCGTGTATGTCTTGCTTATGAATGAAAATCACTAGGACTAAAATCATGTCAATTTGAGTATCGAAATGGATCGTTTATGCCCATTTTGCCTAATTGTTCTTGTCCGTTTGAAAATCATGATGCCTAAATTTACGTTAGTCCGAACTTTGATTAGGACCATTTTTGCCATTTTTATTTGTTTTTTCTAATTTGCCATTTTTGTTGTTTTTATCTCTTTTTTCTAATCTGCTATTTGGTCGTTGTTTCCTATTTTGTCTATTTGCGTATTTTTAAGCCATGTTTCTACGCATGCCATTTAAGTCACACTAGCCACATATTCTTACGCACTCATCATGTTCTTTTCATTTCATTTTCATACCTATTCGTTTTAAAGTGAGGACTGTTAGAGAATAATATAAATTATATCTAGGAGCCTCACCTAACGACTTAAGTTTTTGAGTGAGATGGTCTTTTAATATGTTATTAGAGCCTTGATAACCAAACGGTTACAAGTTCAAATCCTATCACCCCTAGTTTCTCTTCTAATTAATTAAGCACAATGTAGTGTGAGCTTGTACACGTTTTAAGCCCAAAGGGCTTTCACTTGAGAGAGTATGTTAGAAATAATATAAATCATATCTTGAGATCTCACCTAATAGCTTAAGTTTTTGGATAAGATGGTCTTTTGATAACAACAAGGTCTTTGATCGATCAAGTCCTAAATCACTCATCCGATTGGTAAATGCTTAAAAAATAGGTATAGATTTTCATCATAAAAATAAAAATCAAAGTCGGTTTTGTACACAATACAGACTTGCCTTAGGTAGGACGGGATATGATATTTTTAATTTTTCCTATACATAACAAATCTCTTACCTAAAACTTTGAACAAATCAACCATGTGGTTTCCTAATAAGCATAATATTATGTGGCGACTCCACTATTTTTAGCCATTTCCTATTTTCCAAAATCGTTACCTTCGCCCTAACATCATCCTGCGACAAAATGACGATTACGCCAAGGACTCATACTTAGGTTTAAGCTTTGTATTTAATTTTTAAATTTGATTTTTGATGATATAATGAATTTTTATACTTGTATGTTGATTTATATAACTTATCCCTATTATGGGAATTAAATCGAGATGTTATAAAAAAAGGAGAAAGAAAACATCTTTGAGTTGAAATGGAATCACAAATTTATTAGGCTATATTTGAAAGGCAAGTAGTGGCTGAAGCCTTTGAAAGTAAAGAAGATGCTGCCAATTCATTGTCACGACTTCCACTTATTCAAAGCAAGCCAGTAATGTTTTGCAATAGAAGATTGCTCATCCCAAGAAAAGTATTTTTCTTAAAGCCTTTGAACAATTTGGCATTTTGTCGGAGTATGATCATGACTTTCACCTTTGGTGTTCAAACTAAAGAAAGCTTTCATATTTATCATCTACTGAATCTTGCTTTAAGGATTTCCTACTCAATTTAGCGGCCGATCAAAAAGGTGTTTTAGACTTGGAAGTACGTCATTTTCAAGCAGAGGAATTTGTTATCGCCGTCAAATGTCAAATATGCAGAATATGCTTCTCAAATCAGTAAGTCTAATCTTGATGTTCATAAAAGCAATATGATATTTTAAGACGGCAACCTTATCTTGATTTATCTTTGAAAGGAAAGATTTTCTCCAGGACGTACGCCAATCTTCAGCCAAGAGTCTAGAGTTCATGGTCTTTTTCTGAATTACGAAGCAAGTCGATGAGAATGCTTATAAGATCAAGTTTTTGAGAAATTATGATGTCTCGGTAACTTTCAATAACATAGCTTATCTCTCGCCATACCATGAAGAAAAGGAAAATCAAGATTTCAAGAGCGAGCTTTTTTCAACATGTATAACTTGACACGAGAGTTTGCCATCCCATCTAGGCACGTCTCTAGACTAGAACACCATCTAGGTAAACCCCACTAACCCCACGTAAAGAAAAGATTAGTCTATTAATATGTGATTTATGATTTGATTTAGTTATACGTGTTCTAAAATAAATGAATCCAAAACTTATAATCTAGGATTTTTAAAAAGATAAATAATATTTATTAGATTTCTAGTTTCAAGGTCTAGGAAAGACTAAATAAAAAGTCTTGTAGTGTAATATCAAATGATGATGTTATATTATTATTACTTTAAACAAAAGTTCTTGATATTTCTTAAATTCTTTATGTAATTTTTGTGAATATCTTAGAATTACGTTTCATGTATCCTTATATTGATCTCCCGAGATGGTGATTGTGATCTTATTAGCTATTAGTTATAGTGGGTTCCTTGAGCCTTTCTATAATCAGCAATAGCTAGAGTGTGTATGAAATTTACTTGATTCTTCACAAACTGATATCATAATATCTTCAAATTTTTGAATGGTCACTTCAACTTAATGATATCTTAGAGAGTTATTGTAATTTATCTTATTTTTAAATCGTTCTCCTTAACATTATGGGTGTTTTAGGTATAAAAGGAGATTTTTTTTTATAATATTTTAAAACTTTTAAATGGTTACTTTAATTCATGACATCTTAAAAAGGTATTTTAATTTATCTCTGATTATAGTTATAACGTAACAAATAAATATTGTTACATTAAAGTTTATTAATGTGCAGATATATTATTTGAAACAAAAGATGTGCAGATATAAAAGGACTGATTAAAAAAAAATTGGAAACAGAAAAAAAAATAGAAACCATGGAAATGAAAGAATGAAACCAAAAATTGTGAACCTTAGAAAATTATTGAAAACAACGTCTAATCTAATGCATAAACCAAAAGATGATAGATGAGTGGCCCATAATGAAATCGGGCCGAGATAACCATTGCAAAACTCGATCCACCCTTCCCCGACCCCTTTTGGCATTTCCCACAGAGAAACCGCTAGACTCGAGAGTTGGAGAAAAACGAAATGGCATGTGCGAGTGGAAGCAACACCAGTTTACTAATATTAATGAACCAGTCTAGACTCAGTCCCCAAAGCCAAAAGGGTCAACAACGAATTCATTCCTCTTTAGGTGCTTCTTTTCCCTTTCGAAGTGCAGGAAGAAGAACAAAGGTTTGTTTCATGAGTATGGCAAAACCAGTAGTAAAAGCAGAGACCTTGACTATTGAGAAGTCTGGAATTAAGGTTGTAAGGAACCCTCCTGAGTCCAAACTCACTGAACTTGGTGTTCGCAAATGGCCCAAGTAAGTAACTCTAACTCACTCGATCTGTTTCAATGTTGTTGTTTTTGCTGCTAAAATTTTATTTGTTTTGCTTTCGTTACTATGTTTTCTGTGATCGGTTTTTCTTGTATCTTCTTTTCATAGTCCATTAACCTTATGTATGAGAAGTTAAAGTCTCAATTTTGGGAAAGAATGGAATTTCCAAACTATATTATTCATGAAACGTTTTTATACTTAAAATTATGCAACAATTTGATGTTCAAAAAAGAGGTGGTTTTGCAGTTTCTTGTTGATCTATAATTGATAGCATTTGACTCTCCCAATTACTGGTTGAATGGTATTCTTGGCTTCATTGTGCTTCGACTGAAGCAAGAATCTTGGAGCTGCAGTGGGGAATTGTGGTGTTTTTGAAACTTGATTTCCAGCAATACACTTGTGCAATCCGAAAGCTGACCTCTTAAAAGAAGCAAGGTTGTCTCTTGAACTGTTCTTTTAAGTCTAATGTTCAGTTTGGTGTGGCTGTTAGGCAAATCCCATCACAAAAAACTATGAGAGGCCCTTAAAAAATAACGAGATGACCCAACGATTTACCTAAACTATGAGTCAGCCATATCCCATTTTTTCTCTTTTCCTTTGGGCATGGCAAGATTTCTGTCTATTTGAAGACCTATGTCCTCGATTGCTATCTTTTGCCACCAAAGTCAACCAAGTGTGTTGGATCCTTGTTCTCGTATATAAGATTAAACTTGCTTTTTGGAGTGATAGCACCTTCAGCTCTCTCAGTAGTATCTATAGAATCAAACTCAATTGTAATGCTTACTTCTAAATGACTATTCTCAAAATCCCTCTCTGCTGGGCAGATGATTGGATCGTTTTGTTTTTGGATGTTGGGTTTTCCTGGAATCTTGTAACTTTATTTTCCTTGTATGCTTTGCATAACCCTGAATCCCTACACGCATGGAAGCTCTGATTGGATGATTCCTCTGAAATGCGCCTACAGGATTTTTCTATTCCAATGTTTTCTTTTTCTGGAGCACTTAAGTGTGATATTAACTACACTCTTTTGTGTTGATCTCAAAGTAAGGACATACACACACAAGTATATATAGCAACGCACATGCATACGCACCTTTATGCACTTGGCTTGTGTTGGGAACTTTTAACGTATATAAAAGCTTTGAAGTAGTTCATATTATAATGTTGCATCTGCTCTCTTTAGAGTTTAAAATGTTCTCTAGAACAATGTGCGTATGCTTTACTTTTAGATTAAAGATGAATTAATACTTTAAAGAACTTTTGAATTTGGTGAGTCGTGTTGATGGCAAAAACGGAGGTGCTGCCTCTTATAGCTGTGTTTGATATGCAGTATTTTTTGTTTTTACTGGCTGTTCTGAAAGTGTTGAACTGATGGGACTTTTATATGCATCTGTTGTGCAATTCCATGTAATATTGGAAATTTTGATGTTGATCGTGAACATTTTTCTACAGGTGGGGTTGTCCTCCTAGCAAATTTCCATGGACATATTCTGCCAAAGAGACATGCTATCTTCTGGAGGGCAAAGTAAAGGTGTACCCTGATGGGTCGGATGAGGCTGTTGAGATTTCTGCAGGTGACTTGGTTGAGTTCCCGAAAGGAATGAGCTGCACTTGGGATGTTTCAGTTGGCGTAGACAAGCACTATAACTTCGAGTAATAATAATCTTGGGAAGTCTATGTGGCTTAGTTCAGTCTATCACTCCCCCTTCTCAAATAAGGGTATTGTAAACTGCGTAGTAATGTTCAAACGAGCTATAGCTAAAATGACAGTAGCGTCTCTCTTGGTTTTGAGTTTGAACCTCTCCTTACAAAATAAATAAATAAAGAATAAAAATCTACAGTGGTCATGGGATGTGCTTTACATTGGAACCCTTTACATAGGTCCTATTACCAATATTTTGTAAGGATGCATCCAGCATATTGAATAAGTGCACCAACTTTGGTTTCACATAGGGATGGCTGGCAGTGGGTAGGATACAAAATAGTTATCTTGTACATAGCATTCATTAATTATTCTTTTAAAATAATGAGTAATGGGCTAAATATGGATATATGGATAAAATAGTATTATCCATTTGTGTGTGTATTTATGTGTGTGTCTTGTTTTTATACTATTGACATTCACTTTTTCCCTATTAATACAAAGAAATACTAAAATACAAAATTTTAAAGTAAACAAAAGAAATGAGTATATTTTTGTGTGTATAGGTTGTATTTTTTTTTTTTTAATTTTATTTTACACCATGCGTTTTTATTTTGCATTCTTTCCTATAATATTTCTTAAGTTTTTCTTTCCTTTGAGTTCGAGTTCGAATTTAATTCTGATTGAAAAATTGAAATTGCTGTATTTCTATTAGTAAGAGTTATTCATAAAACCCTCTCAAAAACAGCCTAGCTGTGATTATAATTGGATTTGGTACCAGTGTTATAAGCATTTTTTTTAATCATGTAATTAAGTTTTGTTAAGATTAATTTAAATCAACATCAAATAAGTAAAATTTGGAGTAAAGTAATGAACCCTTTTTTTTTTTTTTTTTTTGGTGAAGTACCGTTAGGGAAATTGATGATATTGAATTCAAGTTTCCTTAAATTGAAGACTGTAACTTCTTCTCTTTCTTTAAGATCCATTTCTCTCTCCCCCGATCAACAAGGGATGTGTCTCTGCCTTATGTTTCTTTGAAGCCCGTTTCCATGGTTCTCTATTTGATCCTTGTTGACCTTCTAAAAAACATGGATCAATTTTCTCATAAAAGAATGCAACAAACAATCATTTAAATTAAAAGGATGAAAGTTTGCATGCACACATGTGCTCTTGAAACTTGTTTTTGCCCAAGTTAATTAGATAGCCAACCGTTGCTTTTGTGGCTATTAATCTAAATTTCAGGATTTAATGAAAGGTGCATGAATCAGTTTGATGAAAAGGCCAAAAGTGCCCCATAGATTTTTTTTTTTTTTGACAGCAACTATTAAGATACTATATACTATTTCTGTCTTAAAAAAAATATTCTATTTAATTTTTTCCATAAATTAAAAAATTATTAATTATTATGTCATGTTAAAATATTTTATTTATAATTTTAAAAATTATTCATAAAAAATTGTATTTACGTGATTTTTTATAAAATAAAATTTAATTAAAATATTTTAAGATTCAAAGGAAAAAAATTGAAAAAAAATCTTCAATTTAAGGAAAAAAATTAATGGGTAAATAGGTATGGATAAGGTTAACAAGGTATGATATAATGAAAATAGGCTGGATATAGAAATCAATAAGTGATTTTTAAGAGTAATGGATATAATATTTTTTAATGAGTTAGGAATATAATAGTCTTAATAGATCGATTACCTTACCCATTGCCATTCCTAGTCTCATAAGGTATATGGATTGGCAAGTGATTCGTGGAGCCAAAGAAACCTGGGAGAAATATGCTTATCCACGCTCCTCATGCAGGTGCTTTTTTTTATAATATATATATATATATATATATATATATAAAAAGATGATATTTTATCTGTTTGATTCCCTTTTTTGCTTGTTATATTTTTTCTTTTCGGTTGTGGTTTATGTAATTTGTATTTATATTCCCATTTGCCTTTTTTCTTTTTTCCGGCTTTTAACTTGTGCATGGTAACCACCTATTTTTTGTTTTTGTTTTTTTTCAAGTTTACGATGATTGATGCTAGTCGGCTTCCTGCACTACACTGCGAGCTGAACTAAAAATTTTTATTTCATTTTAATAATGTATACTATGTTACCGATTAAATAAAATATATCATATTAAAAATAAAAAACAAAATTTTATCTAATATATAACTTATGATCAAAATTTTGTATCTAATTTTTTTTTATGCTTTTAATAAATTTTGTATTTAAAAAATACAATTTTTTCTTTCTTATATATTTATTCTTAAATGAAAACCCGTAATAATCTAAATATAAATTGAATATAAAATTAAAAAAAATAATATTTTTTTAAAAATATTACATCGAAGAAATAAAGCAACAATTAATATAAAAGCTTGCATAAAAATTAGCAAATGAATTTTTTTATTCTTGTTTGATACTCGGTGAGAATAATATTTTTTAAAACAAATGTATGTACATTTGATTTTTATATATTCATTTACAAAAAAAGAATAATATTAGTATAAAAAATTATATTTGAATTATTAAACAGCTTTTTAAAAAATTATTTCAATTATTTTATTCGAAAGAAAGAAATTTTAAAATATTATAAAAATAATAGAAAAAAGGTTGGTGTTATTTGTATAGATATATAGTTAATTTTTAATAAAAATCAATGACCGTACTCATTGGATATGGTCATTGATTTTATATGTAGCATAAATTATTTAGAAAATATTAAACTTAATTTTAATATTTTTTTATACATCATGAACGTATTCACTATGTCGAATGTGTAGCATAAACTAAAAAATATTTTTTTAAAAATAAAATGATAAAAAAATATTGAATTTAATAGAGAGTAATAAAAAAATATAAAATTAATTTTTATAAAATTTGATTATATAAAAAATAAGTATATAAAACATGTGAATTTTATTTTTAAAAATTGATTATATAAAGAATAAGCAAATAAAAATAACTACAAAAAAAAAAAAAACTTATTTGAAAATCCATATATAGAGAAAATAAATCACATTATTAAAAAAATAAAATTAAATAAAAAAGAAGAATAAAAAAATAAATTTGATGATAATTTTTATAAGAAACAAAAAATTAAAGAGATCAATTTTACATCATAAGAGTAATATAATCCGACATATATGTTCATTCTAATATATATATATATATATATATATATATATATATATATATAATCGTCATCTTTTGAGGAAAAAAATACGAATTCTTTTTTCCATAATTTAACCCTTAATTCAATAATAATTAAAAAAAAACATAAATTAGTGGAAAAAAACTTAAGGGAAAAAAAAAGAGAGACAGGCTCATAAGCTTGGCTTCTGCAGCCCAAGGCTTGCTTTTGTGGGTGGGCTTGCGAAGTAGGCCCAATGCTAGAGCGTACAACAACCTACAATGACTAAAATTTTATTTTAAACTTTCAAGAATCAAAATAAAATACTATGTAAAATTTGAATATTAATGTCAAGAAATTAAAAAATTTTAAAAATACCATCTTGTTATAAAATAATGAATGTCCATATGAATGTCCATCTATATTTCATATCCCCACTACTCATATTCCTCAATGTGATTCAATTCACCATTCAATATGAGAAATTGAAAGGGTGATGCAATTGATGTACTTTTAATTATTCATAGTCCATTCCAATTCTCATCTCAATTTTGAGGCCTATAAATAGGCTTGATTGTTCATTTGTTGATGTATAAGTTTCCTAGAGAGAATAAGAGAAACTTTGAAGTTCTTATCACTTATATTCACGTTATAGTGATTTCATTTTCTTGTCATCCTTTTCTTCAATTCTCCTATCATTTTTATTTATTTTATAACACGTTATCGCACGAAGTTCTAACCAATCGAGATAATAGACCATGAGGTATGTATCTATCAAAATACTTAATCAATTGTTTCAACCATTGGATTTCTTTTGCACAAGTGCTCTACCGATTGGATCTAAATTATTATTTAGATCATTAAGAGGTATGTATCTAATTTATTATATATTTTAAATTTAATGATACATAGAATATATATTTGAAAATTTTTAATATATAGAATGTAATAATTTAATATATATTATTTGAAAAGTTCAAATTTTATTATTACATTTATTTTTATTTAAATTTTATTATTATATTTTGTTTTTATTTCCTAACATTATTATTATACTTTGCAATATACAATTTTAATGATATCTTATCAACCATCACAAAACTTGATTTTGTGGCCCTTGACATTTTGGGCAAGAATTATTGATCATGAGTGCTTAATGCTAAGTTAATATCATCTACTTTTCATGCGTCAAATATGCTCCTGCAGTAGCATATCAAGAAAAAGAGTTTAAGAAATATTCTGAATCGATTTCATATTTGCTCATGGCTAAGTAAAATGAAAAGCTATTGATGAAAAAGAATAAATTTCATCCAATTGGATCTATTCCATTCTCTCGAAGTGAATGTGACAATTTATAATAATTTTAGGCATGGATGAAGATGTAGTCATAGCCATGGATGTTGTCAAAATAATTATCATTATAATTGAGATGACATAATATTACATCTCACCACCGTAAATGGATAACTATGAAAAAAAAAAGATAAAATCAATATTCTGAAAAATAAATATTATAGATGTGGAATGAATGAATATTGATCGTGTACCTGTCGTACACCAAAGCACCTCATTGAGCCTTGTCAAGCCTTATTGAAAAATAAAGAGTAAAATATGAAAGCCACTTTTATATATCAAAGTAATAGTAATTGAAATTAATTATTTGTTAGTTTTTCTATTTATAAATAAAATATTTTATATTTATTATAATTTATGTCGTATATTGATGGTTACAAATTTATTTTACTATTTATTTATTTTGTTTATGTTTATGAGGCATATATTGATTTATTTATTTTTTATTGATTTATTTGATTATTTATTTTATGTTAATATTGTATATGATAATATCAATATAATAGAAAGCTCTAGAAGAGCGATTATA